AATAAAGATTCATCTGGGAGCCACACAGAATATCACCACCATCATCATTATATTATCAATCATAATAGTGATTGTGATTTTCCATGAAAACAAAAAGGGTTAATGCTGAATTGGAAATTTTCCCAAACTAAACCCCTGCATTCATAGTTGAAGCCCAGAAGGAATCCAGGCTGATAACAGATCCCTGGAACCCAAATAGGTCTCTGAAATGAAGATCTATTGGGAACAGTCCTGGCAGATATATAGACATCAGAACAGAACTGTGTCTCCTTTAATGACTTCAGGCTTGCATGACTTTGCAGCATACGTGGCCAAATGCCCAACGTACCTGGCCTTAGGAATGCCAGACAATATACCTGTTGTATTTTGGAAGCTTGTGTGTCATACCAGCAATGTCCCAAGAGGAAATTTGCTTTTACAGAGGCTGCTGGGAGAAAGCTTAGAGCAGAGGAGAGAAAAAAAATGTTTTTTAGGAATGGTGATCAGCACAGATCACCTTAAAAGGAAGATTATGAGATTTGGACATACCACCTTACATGCAATGGACCATCGGTGATGGAGTCATAGTTGTTGTCACTCAGTGCATATAAGGTTAAAGTTAAAAGAGAGATTAGCTTATAGAATAGCTGAGAGAAAGGTACCTTAGACCATGGAATGTCCGAACATAGGATCATAGAATGCTAGAAGTCAAATGTAACTTTGAGGTCATCTTGTCTCACCCCGCCCCTCCACCCCTAACACCTTATTTTATAGATGAGGAACCTGAGACCTAGAAAGGAAGAATTATTTGCAAGCTCACACCATGTCCATGGTAGAATAAGAGTCTTGAGTATCATTTCTGAGGGAGAAATAATTAAGAGAGATGGTTTGTACACCATTTTTAGTCATAATAATAAGGTACTAGGAAGTTTTGCCCTTGTTACAGTGGGAGAAACGAGAAATGGAGCTCATTGTTCAAATCCTGGCTCTATCATTTCAGTGTTTGTGGACTGACTGACTGATTGACTCGCTATGTGACTTTGGGCAAGTCATGTCAATTCCTTATCGGTAAAATGGGAGAGTTGGTCTAGGTGACTTTTAAGGTCTCTTTCATCTCTCTCTCTCTTTTTCTTTCTTTCTCTCTTCCTTTTTCTTCTCTCTCTCTTTCTGCATCCCCCACTTGCCCTACCCCCTGCTGCCCCATCTTTCTCACTCTACTCCCCCATTAGACAATTTTGCTAAAATTTCAGACCCTCAGGGAAGGAAGTAGAGGCTAATCACCTCATCTCTTCCATGGTTTCATCCCCCTCCTAATTCCAATGCTATTTACAAGACTTTCAGAAATCTGTGCCTAGATTTCCTTCCAGAACAAATATGTGTCCATTGCTCGGGGAAGTCCTGAGAATATCTAGGAAAGTAAAGTGTGGGAGATTAATGCTAGGACAGAACGATTTGCCTTCGTTAGTTGAAGCCTTTGCAGGCCAGAGTTAAATGTCCTTTGGAAAAGCAGAATTGAATTTTTTTTTCTGGCCAGATTGCCTGGCCTTTCTCTTTTGGTTCAACCCAGGCTCAGATGCTCCGTCCATCTTGCTATTAGGTAGCTATTAAAAGCAACAGAAAAAGATGGCACAGTGAATAGAATGCCAACCTTGGAGTCAGGCAAACATGGATTCAAATCCTACCTTCTTGGGGCAGCTAGGTGGCACAGTGGATAGAGCCATGTACTTGCAGTCAGGAAGCCCTGAGTTCAAATCCAGCCTCAGACACTTGACACTTACTAGCTGGGTGACCCTGGGCAAGTCACTTAATCCCATTACCTAGCCAAAAAAAAATTCTACCTTCTTTAATGTGACCTTGGTGAAGTCACTTTCTCAGCCTGTTTCTTCATCTGTAAAATGGGTATAATAATATCTGTAGTATCTGCTTCAGAAGGCTGTTAAGAAGATAAGAGATAATAATTAAAAAAAAGAAGATAAGAGATAATGGATATAAAATGCTATGCAGTGCTTTCTTAAAGTGCCATAGAAACTGCAGCTATTACTATCCAATCTCAAATCTTCTCTCCAAACTAAGCAGTGGGACAAAGCCATCATTATCCACAGGTGTCTGAGTATCTAAATCTTTCCAGCTTCAGATCCGTCCAACTAGATCAGATCATGATTGGTGGTATTCTGGGAAACAAGACCCTCAGAACACCAGCCTTTTCCTCAGGATAGATTGCTTAATAAGGAAGCACAGGGACCCAGGATACCTTCATTTCAGACTCCCCTTTCTTTGACTCGAATTCTGTGGCCATGATTCAAAGGATTCATTCCTCTCTCAATCAGTCTGCAATTCCAGTGGGTTAAAGACTCTTGCCTTCAGTGAGGTTGACTGGACATTGATAAAGAGGTTGGCACTCCTTTTAGGATATCAGCAAATCCCTGGGTTTTCTGGTTATGCACAGCCTGAACCAGCTGCCAGTGGAAAATTCCTCCAGCCCCACCTTGTCGCATAGGGATTCTTTCCCTATTCTCTTTGACAAGGTCTGTCTATTCTTGTGATTCTGTTTCAAAAAATACAACTCTCCTTTCCTTTCTTCTTTCCTTCCTTCCCCTCTCTCTCTCTTTCTTCCTTTCTTCCCTCCTTCCATTTCTTTTCTTCCTTCCATCTTTCCTATTTTTTTCTTGTACTAATGGGGAGATGATCCCTATTTTCTTCAGTCTATTCTTGAGCTCTTTTTTTTTTTCTTCACAACTTGTTCTTCTCATATAGTCTGAGCCTTGCAAGGACGGTATTTTGGGTTCATTTTTCTTTGCACAATCAAAAGAATAATAAATCTTTCCAAAGCCTTTACTTATTATTGGTTTTTTTGTTGCCACCAAAGTGGTTTGGAATCAAGGACAAAAATGACATCTGGTGTAGCTGTGTACATTTTGGTCAATTGTTCCTGAGTTTCAGTCTTGGGCACTGTAGCTTTCCTAAGATCTATGACCATCTGTTTACACTGAGTGTCTGTGTGTCATGAACCCCCTGGCTCTGATGATTGCCTTGTTTATAATGGAGGCTCTCTTCTCAATCAGCAGGGGAAGAAAAGGCCATTTGCATGATTTATCAGTGTATCATATCCCCTTAATTTTGTTGTCATATACATATAGATACACATATATATATTTCAAAAGAACTCAAAGGAATTTGTGATTTCTTTTTCTTTTTGGGGGAAGAATGAATTTCATCGCTCTTCTTGAGATCACTAGAGGATGCCCATCACTATAGCCAGGAATAAAAATTAGTCAATCAACAAGTACCTCCCCGACTCTCAGTTTTCCCATTTGTAAAATGAAGGCGTTGGCCTAGATGATCACTAAAGTCCCTTCTGTCTCTAAATCCTGTGTTCTTAGAGGAGACAGCTACAGAGAATTTGAAAGTAATTGAACAAAAATGAGGACAAAGAGTTAAAGAGAAGCATTTATTATTGAGTCTGCTATATATTCTGCCTTGTAAAAGATGATAATGGCTTAAATTTATATAATGCTTTGAAGTTTACAAAGCCTTTTACATATATTAATCTTATTTGAGAGAAAGAATTATTGGAATACCCAACATCTGTTTGAACAACTCCTAAACAGGAGAAGTGATCAGAAAATTCTACAAACAGCCTATGCTCAGCACTGTAGTCTACATTATGCCACGCAGTCTTAGGAAACACCTGAATGAGTGCAGTCTTTTACTGTCCCTTTTTTGGTTTTTTGGTTTTGCTGTTTGTTTTTTAGGCAATTGGGGTTAAGAGACTTGCCCACGGTCACACAGTTAGTAAGTACTGTCCCTTTTTTGGGCCAGACGGTTTGAATGAAGATGATTTTCTTGCATTTTCTTCTGATCAGTACATCCCAGAATGGGAATTATCTTTTTAGTTATAATAATTATAGCACATGTTTATACTGAGTATTATAGAAAAACACATTCCTCACCATAACTTGTGAGGTAGAAAGTCAAATGTTATTTCCTACCCCATTTTAACAGATGAGGAAACTGAGGCTCAGAGCACTTAAGGGTTTGGACCTCAGTCATATGATGAATGGCAGATTTGAAAATTCAAACTCAGGTCTTCTAACCCCAAGTTTAATGTTCTTTTCTCTGCACCACATTAACTCTCCCAATTTTATTCTAGTCTTTCTTGCTACCTGGGTTTTACATACTACAGAGCCTTACTTCCTATACCTTGTAATTTTTAATAGTTCTATGTCCAGCACAGTGACCAAATATGACAGCATACGCAACATGCTTTATATATAGTCCTACACCTCTCTACCTTGAGGAAGAAAATATTTGAGAATCATTTCATGAACTGTCTTTCGAAATCAAAATTATTCACTGTGTTTAATCTAAATTCAGCTGCCTCCGAGTGATTTAAAAAAACACACACACTTTATTATAGTTATTGCTGTATGCCCTATTACCCACGTACTGGGCTGATGAAGCTTTGAAAACCCATTTTATTGAGTCTGGTACAGGGCCTCTATCTTCCCAGTCATAACTTTCAGTAATGGAGTTATCTAGGCCATGGGGAGGGGAGCAGGCCCACACAACCCTCAATCCCTCAGGGATCCTTTTTATAGAATTATCTAGATTCCCTCTGCATGTTACATGGATACAGGTTAGTAAATTGCAATTGAAGGATCCCTCATAGGTGAAGAGAATTCCAGGATGCTGGACTGAGTTACCACAGTGATAGAACTACAGATGTGGATGCATTAAAATTCTGAGTCTGATCTAGATTTTAAGAGAATCATAGAATGTAGAGTTAGAAGGGATCTAAGGAATCACTTAATTCAACTTCTTCATTTTAAAGTGGAGAAAACAGGCTCAGAGAATGAATGCCAAAGCTACACAGCTAGTGAATGGCAGAACTGGGACATGAATCCAGGTCTTCTCCCTCCAAACCCAGCATTCTTTTCCCTGTATTAGGGGACACAGTAAGAAACTTGATCTTTTCCCCTCCCTTTCATTGCCTAACTACTCCTCGTCTCTTTTCTCTATAGATGATTCCTCCAGATCAAGAGCTGCTGGTTTGGTACGGGAACTCCCACAATACTTTCCTGGGGATTCCTGGTGTCCCAGGATTGGAAGAAGAACAGAAGAAGAACAAACATGGTAGGTAGTCCTTAACCAGCCAGGGCCATCATTACAGGTGGCCCTTTGTATTTCTCTGCTTCCTTTTTAACCTCAGGGCAGTGATAGTCATTAGTTTCTAATTGGAGGGGGAAGAAAGAAAACCAAATGGCTCTTCATGCACAGCTTAGGTGATCCATCCTCTCTTTGTTCCTCCACCTCCAAAGCATCAGAAGCCTCTTTTGATGGATTTCCCGCTGTTTCTGTGGTTCAACTAGGGCTTTGCTTTGCTTGGTTGATCCTGTAACCCCAAGCTGGAGCTGACCAATAAGGTTTAATTTACCCCTCCCCAAGATACCAGGCCATTAGGCAGAGCTTTCAAGGGTGATAGTTAACCAACAAACATTTATTAAGCATCTACTCTGTACCAGGCACTGTGCTAAGGGCTGGAGATACAAAGACAGAAAAAGCCAAAACCACCTCCTACTCTCAGGGAACTCACTGTCTAATAGGGGAAGCTATAGGAAAACAACAAATAAGATATAGATGGGATAAACTGGAGATAGTATCAGAGGGGAAGGCACTGAGGAAGGACGGGGAAAGGCTTCTTGCAGAAGTAGGACTTTAAGAAGCAGCATTGTGCAGAAGCTGAGAGAAGGGGAGAGAAGTGTCAGGGGAGAGAAGCGGGGATGTTACCAAGGCAGAAACAAGATTTGACAACTGATTTGATGTGGGGATAAAAGAGTGAGGAGTTGAGGATTACATCTAGATTTCCAGCCTGGGTGACTGGGAGCATGGTGGTGCCCTCAATAGTGATAAGGAAGTTAGGAAGAAGAGAAAGTGTGGGGGGGAGACAATGAGTTCAGTTTTAGACCTGTTGTATTTAAGATGAGTAAGGGATACCCAGTTCAAGATGTCCAATAGGTAGTTAGAAATGCAGGACTGGAGAACAGATGTAAGGTTAGGGGAGGATAAGTAGATCTGAGAATCATCTTCAGAGAGATAATAATTGCATAAAAAGGTGCTGATTTCATTAAGGGAAATAGTATAAAGGAAGAGGATAATAGGGCCTATAGGATCTTGAGGGACATGTGTGGTTAGTTTCTGCTAAAGAACATGAAGTATAAGTTACTTGGAATATTCATTGGCGTCTAGAGGTAGCTACTCTAAAATGGTGGCTCCTCAAGGGGAGGCAGTGAGTTGTGATGGAAACAGCACTGAAAACCTAGATTATAATCACTAGTTCACTGGGCTAATCACTTCTCCTTTCTGGCCCTTAGTTTCCCCGTCAAAAGAGAGGGGTGGGCTAGACTAGATCATCATGAAGATTCCTTCCAGTTATGAGAGGCTATAATTTTAAATAACTTATAAAAGTCAAAGAATCTCAGATATGGTTGAAATCACAGAGGCCACCAAATTCAGCCTGCAACAAGCAGGAACTTCCCTCTACAATATTTTTGACAAGTGGTCATTCAGACTTTACTTGAATGCCTGCAGAGTGAATACACCAGTTTCCAGGGGCTAATACTGTTTGCAACTCCGCCATCCCCTCTATGTCCAGGGCCCTAGGCAAATGACCCAAAGCCCTCTGGGATGGGTCATGCCCTGGCAAATGACAGTGCAAATCAATCAATGAATAAACAAGCATTTACTTTTACTGTCTAAATTTTTAAAAAAATTTTGTTTTTAAATCATCCCCATTATCAAATTATCCTCCCTCTCCTCTGCAGAGAGCTATTCCTTGTAATAAAGAATTTTTAATAAGAGAAAGAAAAAAACAGTCTCAGTAAAATTAACCAACACATCAGCCGATCCTACAGTATGTGTAATGTTCCATACTCAGAGCCTTCCATTTCTACTAAGCAAGGAGAAAGGTGCATTTTTCTTTCTCTTCTTCAGGCTTCAACAAGCCTATATTAAATGCCTACTGTAGGCTAGGGATTTTGTTAGGCTCTGGGCATACAAAGACAAAAATGAACCAGTGCCTGCCCTCAAGTAGCTTACATTTTATCTACACATAAGAGACTTAGGGTTTCCAGTTAAGTCTATTTAGTGAGTGAAGTCATCGGTCTAACCCGGCTGCTCCGTTCTTCCTTCCCTCCCCGCTCTTTGCCCCGCTGCCCTGGCCAGAGGACTTCCATCCAGTGGACACTGCCGCCAACACCGCGGGCCGCATGCGCTGCGTCATCTGCCACCGGGGCTTCAACTCCCGCAGCAACCTGCGCTCCCACATGCGCATCCACACCCTGGACAAACCCTTCGTCTGCCGCTTTTGCAACCGGCGCTTCAGCCAGTCCTCTACTCTCCGCAACCACGTCCGCCTACACACTGGCGAGCGCCCCTACAAGTGCCAGGTGTGCCAGAGCGCCTACTCCCAGCTGGCCGGCCTGCGGGCGCACCAGAAGAGCGCCCGCCATCGACCCCCCAATGCCTCGCTGCAGGCCCACTCCCCGGCCCTGCCCGTGCCCCATCCCACTTCCCTCGCGGCGCACCACATCCCGACTATGGTGCTGTGAGATGCCCCCGCTGGCCTGAGACGGGAGGCATTCCAGACTGGCATCGCGGCGCAGCCTTCTCTCCTATCCTCTCTACCCCTTCCTTCCCGAGACCTGTGAAAGCTGACCTCTTGGAATGGGAAGGAGAGTGCAGAGGAGGGGCTGGTTTCATCATTTGGTTTTAAGGCAGCTGAGTAAGTCCCCTCTCCCACTCAGCTTGCATAGTTTGCATACTGCCTCCTTCTCCAGGGAGCTTGGGGTGGAGGGGGGAAGAAGGCACACTTAGTGTGTTTGGTATATACATACACACACACACACACACACACACACACACACATATATTTTCTTCTCACATCACCATCTTTTGGCCCTTGTGAGTCCATCTGTGTCCTCCTGCCCCTCACCTAGCTATCCCCAGGTCCCAAGCCTGTAAGGCTTTTCCCTTCTCAGGAAGGGGTGAGGAAGTGGGTGGGGGGAATGAGTGAGGGAAGGGGAAGGAGTGAGATGGAGCAATGAAAAAGATCTACTCCACCTCACCCCACACTTACCCCCAGCTGTGATCCTCCGAAAATGGCGGGGGTGGGGGGTGGGGGGCAGTAAAGAGAGCGATCTATAATTTCCTTGTGGCTTATAGTTCAGTCTGGAGGCCAAAGCAATGGGGGCTGGGATGGGAATGGGGGTAGGAGTGGAGTCGGAATTGGGAATTCCTCTACTTCCAAACAAGAGGTGGCTCTGGTGTCTCTGAACCTCCTCCAGATCTCTTCCTCCCTCCTCTCCCTTCCACCCTCAAGATTATTCTCAGGAAACAGAGATGCAGGTCAGTTGGTTTTAGTTCAAAAACAGTGTCCTTGCTAAAGCTGCTCCCTGATTGGGTCCAGGCCTGGGTGGGGCAAGAAAAAAAAAAGGTGAGTAGAGGCTGGGAGGGCAGGCTTGAGACTACCAGGCTTTCTGGCCAAGAGATTCAAGACTGGATTTCAGGGCTCATTGTTACAGGGGTCTTATGTCAGGCTGTATTCTCGCCTGACCTGGGCTCCTAGAAACTGGAAGCCTAAAGGGATTATGGTAGATCAGGCCAACTATGTGTGAACAGATTTGGGAGGGGTAAGGTCAAGAGGTGTCGACCCCATGGAATTTCATTCCATCCCCAAAGCCTCATCTGAATTATCCTCAGGGGAGAAACAAGGAAGACTGGCAACAGTGCTTTTGAGTATCACCCCTCCCCGGTAAACAGTTCCAAACAGCTGTGAAATCCCTTGGGAAAAGTAGGAGACCACTTCACCTGATTCAGCAGTCCCAGCCCTCTGGAGACCCAACCACATTCCACCCCCATCCCCCCCCTTCCGCTTTTCCCCATCAATTGCTCCTAAACTCCTGTAATGAGCGCCCTCTAGTGTCTCCCACCCTGCCCCATAATTATTAACAAGTGACAAGTCCCTTAGGGTGTTTTGTAAAATAAAGAAACTATAATAATATTAATGAAAAGTATAAAGTGCATAGAGTTTTCACAAACTGTGTTCTACTTCCAGGAAATGGTCACTTTAACTTTGTAAATACTTATCTAAAATGATATTTACAAAACTTTGATATATATTATTTGATTGTATATGTATGATTGTAAATACATTTGTACCTCTTGTATTCTAAAATAAAAAAGTTACTTGGAACATTTATCATTTAGCAAATGAATAGTTTGGCATTTTATATGTATAGCAGTCTTGGAGAAGTAGAGACTGCCATAAGGTTATTCTTTGTTAAGTTATATTCAAAATCAATGCCTGGCCATTAATTAGAGAAATTATATTTCTTATTTCCTGTCCTGTTAAGGGAATGACATGTAGGCTGTGGAACCTAGTGTATCCTAGGTTTCTCGGTCCTTCACTCCAGCACTTTATCATGCTTCACCCTGGGGCAGCTAGGCAGTGCAATGGATAGAGCACCAGCCCTGGCGTCAGGAGGACCTGAGTTCAAATGTGAGCTCAGACACATTAACACTCACTAGCTGTGTGACTCTGGACAAGTCACTTAACCCCAGTTGCCTCACATTAAAAAACAAACAAAAACACATGCTTCACCCTAACCATGATTAATCAAGGGCCCACATAATCACATACGTATGGTAGGTGATTTATTAAATTCCAAAAACATTTATATGCTTGCTATGTGTCAATAGCTGTAGTTGTACATCTACTACCACCATGAAATAGCTATTATTTGCAAGGTATATCTATCTATAATCTGTAGTGATATTGCCCCCTCACTCTTCCTATTCATATCGCTGTTAGCTGTGGGCATGGCTCTGCTAAAAAGCAATAGGTGATTTTCAAGAGCTCACATGACATGTAGCTTCCAGAAGACGTAATGTTTCCTGGAGTCAGGAGAACCTGAGTTCAAATCCAGCCTCAGACACTTGACACTTATTAGCCGTGTGACCTTGGGCAAGTCACTTAACCCCATCACCTAGCAAAAAACCAAACCAAAACAAAACAAAAAACAGAAGACACAATATCATTGTTCGTCCTTTGTTTTCTCAAGAGGACCAATGACATCACGGGATGGTGTCTTGACTTGCTCATGAATTGGATTTAAGTGAGGCAGAGGTGCATAAAGACAGCAGCCTCAATCTTCCAGAGTCATGGAAAACCAGTGGCATGACAGAAGTCAAGATGGCTGGTGATGGCTTGGGATGCATCAGACGCTATACACACAGATTGCAGTCTATCCATTCCACTATCTGTACTTTAACTACTGCGTGTGAAGTGCTCAGCCAAGCCTGGTTAGCTCTGATGGTTCACTAGTGGCCTGTGGCCTGTTTCACTTATTCTGCTGGTACAGCCTGCACCCCTCCCCAGTGCCAGAGCTCCTCAAAAATCCGGGACTAGATCACGAATCTCTGTATTCTCCATACCTAGCTAGTATTGTATCTTAAATTTAGGTAATGATAGCTCCCATTTCTACTGTGTTTTAAGATGTACAATGCTTCAACACAGGTATTCTTAGTCCTATTTTATAAATGAGAAAACTGAAGCTCCAAGAGGCCAAGGGGATTTGCCCAAAGCCACATAATGAGTAAAGGTGAAATGTGGGACTAGGAGTCAGATCTTTCTACTACATACTGCTTTTCCGTGTAGTAAGCTGTGATAATTATCTGTTGCTGTTGATGATGGTGATGATGAAATAACTTTCTCATAAAAGCCTCTTGGAGAAGAGTGGTGGTAGAGCTGCTAGAGTACTGATCCTAGCATCAGAAGGACCTGAGTTCAAATCCAGCTTTAGACACTTGCTAGCTTTGTGACTCTGGGCAAGTCACTTTGCCTTTGTCTGCCTCAGTTTTCCCAACTGTAAAATGGGGCTCATTTTACATCACCTTCCTCCCAGGGGTCAAATGAGATAATATTTGAAAAAGAGAATAGTGCCTGGGCCGCTAGGTGGTGCAGTGGAAAGACGATGGGCCTAGAGTCAGAAAGACTGATCTCCATGAATTCAAATATGGCATCAGGCACTTATTAGTTTTGTGACCCTGGGCAAGTCACTTAACCCTCTCTGTCTCAGTTTCTTCCTCTATAAAATGAGCTGGAGAAGGAAATGGCAAATCACTCCAGTATCTTTGCCAAGAAAACCCCAAACACAACACATAGCACTTAAGAAATGCTTGTTTCTTTTCATAAAGGGCCATTGATCAGAGGCATCACAAATCCAGATGAATGACCCAACCACCTGTCAGGTCACTGTAACAGGGAGGATTCCTTTATTGTTTTGGACAAGGTTAGACTTCATGACCTTAAGGTTCTTAGGCCCCATCTGGCTCTGAGAGTCTGTGATTCCATGATCCTAATCTGGGAGATTATCCCTATTTCAGGCTAACTCTATCAATCAAGCATTAATCAATTGACAAATATGTATTTATAGTAATACTTTACATTTATTCTTTTTAACTTCTCTAAACCCTTTAACAACTTTTTTTTGTTGTTTTCCTAGCTAGTTTCTTTGGCATAAGACCCATCTTTGCATGACTGAAGAAAAAACATTCGTAAAGAGTTAGGTTTAATCCTTTATGACCATTGGATGTCAGAGATGGACATGGAATATTCAAACATAAAAGAGAGAATGTTAGAAATGGAAGGGATAGTAGAGGTCATCTAGATCAACTCTCACTTAGAGAGGCTGGGAGAGAAGCCTGAGGTCAAGCTTATGACCAAAGCCAGATTCCCAGATCCCAGCAATATTACCTTCTCTGATGCCCCTTTTAAAAATACACATTTTTGTTGATATCTTTTGTTTTTGCATGGCATATGTTTCCCCTTGCATCCTTCTCCCCCCAAGAGAGAAAGAAAAAAGAAAGAAAAAAAGAGCAAGCAAAACAAATTCAGCGAAACTGATCAACATATGAGGGGGAAAAACCCTGACATTACGTGGAAATTTCCACACCTATGGACCCAAGCCTCTGCAAAGAAGCAGAGGGAGGTGTCTTCTTCTAGCTTTTCTTTGGGGGAGAGGGGCAACCTTCCAATTGGTGGATCCTTATAGCACCCTGCATTTAATAGTTGCTCAATACAGCACGATTGATTGTGAGTGATAGAGGATTCACCTAAGTTAACATGATATTTACTTATATTCTTGTACAGCCACCAAGAGCCATTTTCTACTGACTTTCCAGTGACGCCCTGTTCTGGATGGCTGATATCAGCTGTCACCTACTTCTCTCCCCAATCCAACATAGAAGTCTATGTTGTACCACTGCCCTCTTTTGGCCGTTGATACTCATAAACTTCCTGGTTCAGATCTACCTGATCAACGATGAAAAGGCACTTCCTGCCCTATTACTTCCAGGAACAAATATAAAATGCCCTTTTTGGCTTTTAAAGTTTTCAATAACCAGCCCCTTTCTTACCTTTACCCTCTTCTTACATCTTACTCCCCTCCATGTACTTACTCTATACTCCAGTGACTCTGGCCTCCTAGATGTTCCTCAAATAATAACACTACATCTCCCAATTCCATACTTTTCACTGGCTGTCTCCCAT